GGAAGCATTACCCTTTAAAAACTTCTGCCTGGGGTTTCTTTGCAGTAGCAGGTACTTTATTAGTCTGGTGAAATAAATTATTTCCCATGGTTGAGGCTATCAATCTGGCTTGTTCTTTAGCCTGTGATTACTTCCCTGGGGCATATGGAATGTCTCTGTTTGATCTCTGCTGCTAAGAATCGAAGTGTCTGGAGTGCCCCTGCATCCCTTTGCAGCTCCCTTCTAATGTCTGGGCAGACTGACTCATGAAATGAGTGCCCAGCAAAACTCCGACACTTGGAATTTTTAATTAACATTAATTATAATAAACCTAACCATGTGTCTATCTAATCTTGGAGTTTTACAATTTCATAAACCCTTTTTGTGACTTGACTTGGACCTTCAGTGTGAGTAAGTGTCCAGTTTTGTCTTCACTTTTTTTTTCTATTTCCCTTCTGGAACAAGCCTTTACTTAGGTCAAAACTACCATGTAAAATCCATTCTCATCTAAAATCATTGCCTTCTTACCTTTAACCTTACTTACCAAAAATATACTTTGCCTATAACTCTCTACTTATCTTTCTTGATGGTTCCTTATCTACTTTATGTGTCTTTAGAAAATTTGTTTTTTTCTTAATAAAAAGTCTATATGACAATGAAAACACAGAAAGCTACACCTCAAACATAGATAACACACACTAACACTCCTAGAGATCTTTCTATCCGGTCTCTAATAAAAGAGAGACTAAAGTCTGGTGTCTCTGATTCATTTTGTGTTCGTCTCCTTCCTTTAAAGGGTATCTGGTTAACTCTGCATATTAGCATGATGAACCATGAGGCCAAGCCATTGCTTTCAATATATTGTAAAAGAGAACTGAATCTCAATTATATTTAAACATATTAGCATTAAGTCCATGTAATATCATTTGTAAGACTCAAATCACACTGAGCAGGCAGCAATGATTTTGTCTTAAAAATGACCATTTTTTTTTTTAATCTAAAAGTGGTCAAGGTAAGATCTTAAGAAAAAAAATCTGGTTCTTGTTTTTGTCCCCCACAAAAACAAAGCTGTAACAAGAAAGTGGGGGAAGAAAGTATAAGTGGACAGGCAATAATAGCTCCTATTTCTTGATGCCATATGGCAAATTTAAAAACCACCATAGAGCGTGGAATATGGCTCAGCAGGTAAGGGTGCTTGCTGCCAAGCCTGAAAACGTGAGCATTGGCCTGAGACTCACATGATAGAAGGAGAGAAATCAACTCCCTTCAGAAAACTGTTCTCTGACCTCCACATGTGCACCATGGCACATGCATGCCTACCCCACAAAACGAATAAATTAACATAATAAAAAACCACCCTTAAAACATGTACCTTTACACACTTATATGTACATCTGAAATGAGGCATGCCAAGAATAGTAATTTTATTTTTTTTATTTTTTTTAAGAAGCATAAATATTTATTTGTCACAAAGGAGTTTGTGTACAGTGTTGAAAATCTACTTCTTCTTAAATTCACATTTGCACTTCACCTTTCTGGGCTGGAGAGATGGCTCAGCCGTTAAAGGCTAGGCTCACAACCAAAAATATAAGAAGAGTAATTTTATCATAAAGTAAGCTAAAATACGAAAAGGAAGATTTAACTGTCACAGGTTTTACTACTCAAGTTTCAGCAATTTTGGAGGCAGACTGAGTTTTGGCCCAGGCCAAAATCATACCTAAAAACAATTATGTGGGAGCAATTATGAACATATATGACAGAATGGCATTAAATCAGCATGTGCAATTAGTTAAATAGAGTAGGAAGTTTGCATCTCTACATCTTTGAGGTGTAAGAAAGAGTCCCAGTGAAAGCCGTGGGGGTCAAGAGGTGAAGCTTGTTAAGTGGATTTAGGTTAATATCTTTTCCTGTTCAGGAGATAAAAGGCAGAGGGAAGGGCAGCTCGGGTAACCTTAATATTGTCAAGAGCTCAATTAGCCCGTTGAGAAACACCCCCTTCCTTAAGTAACCTCCCTGATCCTACCACAGTTAACAGATTTCTTAATATAATTTTCATCCCTGTGAGGAGTCTGCAAATAATCTGTGGCATCTCCCAGGGTTCTGTAATCCCAAGCGGTGAGTTCATGATCTGAGTGTGTCTGTGCTGTGGGAAGATGGTCAACAAGGTTTGAGCGAATCACTCCTTTGCATGTCACCTAGATCATCTTACCCCTTAGAAATACAACAAGCCATCAGAAGCAAGTAGAGCTCTCTCCACTGTGAAAGGGGATTCCTGTAGAGAAGCTGCGTCTACAAAGGCTGACCGAATGACTCGAGGACCGGGGAGTTTGCCATGAGACTGCATCTCCTAGTAAAGTCAGAAAGTACCCATAAAGTCTCACCAACATGACTGCTTACACATAAGCTGAACAAGGGTGACACCAATAGACATGGCCAATAGAAGTAGGTATGAGAAAGACCAGGAGGCCTCAGCCCTACACAAAGGACAACAGGCGACTTAGGAACGCTAAAAGTGGGAGAAATAGTCTTCTCCAGGAAAGAGAACACAGACTGGTTATGCAGTACCAAATGGTCAGCCCTGAAAACATACATACATGTAACATTACACAGACTGGGCAGGTTGTATTTAAGAATATATATGCATATACCCATACATCTGTAATAACAAACAATGAAAACAAGGTCATGGGTTTGAAAGAGAGCAAAGTGGGGGTTATAGGAGGATTTGAAAAGAGAGAAAGAAAAGGGGGAAATGGCATAATTCTAATTTCAAAATTTAAAAAAAAGCACACCTTCAATGCCTGTGGAGAATTTGGGATGTTGGAAGTCCAGAGTCTGCTGTTTTCTGCCCAGGGAACAGGTGCTGCAGTAACTTTCACAAGACTGGGATGCAAGCCCTCGCTATAGGGATCTCTCAGGTTATTTCTTCCTGCTTGGGTGAAACAAAATGTCTCTTCTGAGGCTCTAAAAAACAGCTCAAGTGGCTAGGCCCATCGGAGAAGAGGCTTGTCCCTCAAATGGCTCTGGTCTCTTTTTCCATATTGCCCTTAGTGTTTGAAATGGGCGGTCTTTGTCGTGGACCTCATGTTTCCGGAAGTGTCTTACCACCTGGGAGACTAAATGCATGCTTTTGCTGCTAGCACTGCATATGGTAAACGAGCAGGAACACAACTGAGAGTTGGGAGAGTGGGGTGACGCAGAGAAACATTAGGGGCACATGGAGCAAATTCAACAAGAAGTCCCAAAGAGGCTGAGGATACATAGAGGCATGGGAGGCTCCAGCAGCTCAGGGGAGCCCAGGGAGCTATCAGGATTCAGTAGAGTAAGTCTGGACTGGATAGCCCCAGACCCAGGGCTGCTGTATCACATTCATGGCACATTTATCACATCTGAGCCAGCAGGTCAGATTCCCAATACCAGGGTTGCCTGGCACCATTCACCTGGGGGCTGTGACTTGTATCCTCAGTGTCTGACTTTCCATGAGTACCCAGACAGCCCCTCCACATCCCACCAGCTCTCCCCATGGGAGGATGTGAAGGGAGGTGAATATGGAATATGAAGGGAAGAAGCGAAGGAAGGAAAGGATGGCTGGGGAGGAGACATTAGGGGAGAGAGATGAGGAAAGTATTTAAGGCTCCTTTGCCATTGTGAGTCCTTATCAGGGAGCTGATACAGGAGAGGGACAGTGTACTGTTCTGTAGGGTACCTTGGTGAGGACCAACTTCCAACCTTGGCACATGACCAGGTAATCCTGTCGAGTGATTTTCAAGTGGCTGGTACCCTAATAGTCCTTGAATGCTCCCCTCCCCCTGCTCACAGTTTGAAGCAGCTCCTATCACTCACCCCAAAATGAGTTGGACGTTTAAGAGATTAGAAACACAAATCTTACCTCCTGGCTAGCTCACCAACTGACATTACCGGTTAATGTCAGGCTCAGAGGGCACGACTATAGGGGTTTCAGGCCCTTATATTTGCAGAGGATTGAACAGGAAGCACAGGTATAGCTAGAACAGAGTTAGTTTATTGAGAATATGCTTCCAAGAGGAGAGCCAAGGCAGTAACATGGAGGGAGTCCAGCAGCTTTGTTCACTCTGCACTTTATTTTCTAAGGCGTATTTTGCTTTGTTTTGTTTTACATATCTGAACATTTTGCCTGCATATATGTATATGCACCGCATGCATGCCTTGTGCCCATGGAAGTCAGAAGAGGGTATCAAATCTTCTGGAACTAGAGTTATAAATAGTTGTGACCTACCATGTGAGTGCTGGGAACCAAACCTGGGTCTTCTGCAAGAGCAGCCAGTGCTCTTAACCACTGAGCCATCTTCCCAGCCTAGGACACTGAACATTTTCATAGTTTAGCATAAGCTTTTCAGTCTATTTGCATAATGCTAATTTTTCTATGCATGCTGGATCAGTGATGTATTCAACTTGCAACTTCACATGTCGTATGTCTAATTAGCATTTTAAGTCTCTGCCCAGGGATGTGTTTTAGTATTATGCTGATCCATAGGTTACTCTTGGACAATGAAGTGCCATTACATCAGATTGACAGTGAGTCTTAGTTGGCTGCTGTGGATGATTGACTGATAAAGTGCTGATTGTCCAGTAGCCAGGCAGGAAGTATAGGTGGGACAAAGAGAGAAGAGAAGTCTGGGAAGTGAAAAGCTGAGTCAGGGAGACGCTGCCAGCCACCACCATGAGAAGATGTTAAAGATGTTAAGATACTGGTAAGCCATGAGCCACATGGCAACTTATAGATTAATAGAAATGGGTTAATTTAAGATGTAAGATCTAGATAGGAAGATCTAGATAGGCCAAACAGTTTAAATAATATAAGCGTCTGTGTGTTTATTTGTGTCTGAGTGTCTGTTGGCCCGGGCAGGACTGGAGATAACTCCAACTACAGTTGGCTCTGACTGGGGAGGTTCCTGACTCTTTGTCAACCTGTGTTTTTCATATGCTAATCTTAACTACTGCCTCACTAGGTAACAGAGGTATTATAATTGACTCTATTATAATATTATCTCAGTGAAGTTTTTATTTACATTGGAATATTTCACACATTAATGTTTATGGATATCTTGTACATTATACAAAAAATTACCAAAACTATATACAAAGTATACAAATACGATACCAAGCATATCAGTTGGTAGAGAAGATTAGCTAGGTGGCAATCACACCACACTTTTTTCCCCTATGAGCTACAGTCTCAAAAACTTGATTACTTAAGGAGAAAAAAAGCCCAGTTATGTCATATCAACAAACTTCCAAGTACTGACATTATTCTAAGTTGATTATTAAAATGAAGGCAACAGATCAAGCCAGCCAGGCTCTACATTCTTTCCCTGCAGAACAGTTACATGGAACTCTTAACCTGTTAGAAGACTGATGAACAATATGGCAACTGAGCCAGAAGTCTTCCTCAAATCATCTCCATGGCTATCTATCCATCAGCAGATGTGCCAGCCTGGTGTTGCCAGTTGTAACTCCCATCAGACAGGTCAGTCCTAGTGATGATAAGATCTCCTTCCCCAAGTAGCCTTGGAAATGCTGACATCCTTACTCTCCAGGATCCTGTAATTCATCATTCTAAGGCTAATCAGTTATGCTCAAACAGTCATTACCAAAGACTAGGGAATAATACTGTATCACATTGGTTATCATGTTTCCAGGCCATGCATGGCTCTTCACAGTTCCACTAAGGATAGTCCTGCTCCAACCGCTCTCATCAGATCTTGAAGCAGCCTCTAATCATACAGGCCTGCTGAGCTCATGGTGGAAATGCACAGTAACCTCCTAGCCTGGCTGCAACAGTGATGTTCATTAATAAGACAATTACTTCCTAAGTGGAGCTCATCGTTTGCACATAGGTACCCATCGTCTTATTGAAGGTAGTAGATCAGTGACTGATGTTTACATTCTAAAGAGTCAACACAGTTCTGGATGTCTTTGGTTGGTGTTGCTGTTCAATGAGTAATTTATAAAGAAAATAAATTTAATTATTGTAATTCTACAAGCTAGGAATTCCAGTATTAAGGTGTTATCATCTGGTTAGAGCCTTTTTGGCACAGTATCCCTGGCAAAAGTTTGAAAGTCAAGAGAGGTCAAGAGAAAGAGAGTGTACTTTCAGAACAAACAATTTTCCAGTTTCCAGGAACAAACCTACTTCCAAAATGTTGGTAAAGTCTTCAACACTATTACATAATGTTTCTAATACATGAGCTTTAGGGCCACATTCAAACCCATGCACAGGAAGTAAATGACTGTCTTCACAACAGTGAAATTGTCAAATCTGACAAGCCATCTCCTGGAATGGCAGTGATTGAAGGTGGGATGACGTCAGTCAAGTAAATCTTCAGATAAATGGAGTAAGTCAAGTAGAGGATTTCTTCTGTAAGTCAAGTACAGGATTTTACTTGCTGGCTGCCTTTTCTGAAGGGGACTAGAAGCAAGAAAATGAATCAGTGTCTGTTGTTCAAGCCAGAATAACCACTTTTTATCTTAAACACTTAGTGGTGTTAGTGGGTTTTGTAGGAAAAGTGGGGATGACGAGGTTCAAGCCACCACTTATATCTTTGATCATAGATCCATGAGATGTTATAAAATGAATAGTGACACAACCTAAGTCATGTCAGTGTCAACTTTAATCTTCCTTCTAGATGTTCCTGAGTTTTAAAAGTTTTAAAAACAAGCCTAACCCAGTTCTACCCCTTACTTATATTCAGATTTGAAGAACACACAAAACTGTAAAAACTGATGAAGCAAAATGAACCAAACTATACATTGTGTGTGAAGTACTAGTCATCCAGGGACCTAGAAATATCTGGAAAGTATGGACAGCCAGACATCTGGATCCAGATGAAAGCTGTGGTCTACTTGCCACATGGTCTATTTTTATACAAGTCTGTTCCTTCCTGTTTTGGCACAATCCCGCATTTATCAGAAGGACAATCACACTGAGCACACTCTGGTGAGTGTCCAGGGGCACAGTACCACTGGATATGTTCGCAGATAAGAGCAGGAGACCAAGAAGAGCTAGTTAAATAGGAAGATCTCGTACTTTGAGAAAAGCCTAGTTGTATTTTTTCCATCATATTATCCTGCAATTTCTCTTGCCTCTCCCCACCTGCAAGACATGTACGATAGCTAAGTTAGTAAAAAATTCAGTTCCCTTGTTGGTTGTAGTAGAGATGGTTTTGTATTGTTTTCTTTTGAGACAGCATCTTGCTACACAACTCAGGCTGGCCTCAATCTCCTGAGCTTCCTATGTCTACCTCATGAATGCTAGGATTTTTGGGTTCAGTTCCACAAGTCCCTTCCTTCCTTCTTTCCTTCCTTCCTTTCATATTACCTTTGCATCAGGAATGGTTTGATGAAGAAAATGATGCCTTGTGTTCATTGTATCCATTGGAGTTATCAACATTCTTGACACTCTCATCAATAGAGACAGTGCACATTTCTATAAGAAAGAGAGAACAAAAAAAAAAAATCTGTTTGTAAGAATTCACATTCTCCCCCTTTCCTCTTTTGTAATCATGAGAGTCACCTTGGTTACTTCTGTTTTCATATCTTATTCCAACAAACAATATTAAAAATGCATTCACTGTAGAAATATGGCATCCAAAGTAGCAATACGTTTCTATGATTGATTCAAGGGCTCCAAAGGGGAGAATAAATACAAGTCAACCAATCAGCAATTCTTGGCTCATTACAGCTGTTGGCCAGGTTTCCACCAACCACTAACAAAGGAAATGTCCTGGCCAAGGAAGGGCTGAGAGTGGCCTTAGGGGACTAGAATAGAATGCCGTTTGTCAGGGAAGCCCTTCGTTCTCAGCCTTGCTGAAAACTCTGGACCATCTGAACATAGCCTAGAGTAAGGGCATTTTGAACAATAGAAAACTGACTTAAAAATCAAAGCATATGAACCCGGCACATTAAACAACAACCAGGAACCTGGAGACAGGTTAGATTTTATGGGATTTCCTATAAGAGCTCCAAATATGTTTTCATTACATCTAACTACAGAAGTGTAATGATGTTTTTCTGTCAGCTTAGCGGATGCGCATGAATTTATTGATATTTAACCATTGCTACAGCCTCAATATGTAGGTTTAAATTAAGTCTATTGTTCTATTTACCAACAAAGACTCAGAAGTCAGATGTGGGGGTAAAAACCTGCTAAATCAGAGAAGCTGAGAAGCAACCAGCTGACCTTGCTTTTTGCCAGAGACACAGCAAGAGACTCATCCCAAAACCAAAAATAGCACCAAACTCTAGTCCTGCCCTTTCCTTCCTTTTTATCTTCTCTATGCAAATTCCTGGTTTCTCTGTGGCTAATTCCACTCATCTACTTGCTGGCTACGTCCCCCAATCCAAGGTTAACTTTATTAACAGTCTTGGAGTGTCACAGTGAAATCAAATATCACACAATATTATAGAACATTTTCTCTTCATAACCAAGAGGAATACACTCTGACCTGAATTGTGCTCCGTTACTTCATCAGAACCATGATGCACTTCTTCCTCTGATAGGGGAACCTGGCTGTGTTGGTCTCCTTCATCAGAGAATCTGTTTCTTCTGGTTCCTAGTTTGGAGATCAGAGAAAAGAATGAGTTAAGTAAGTGTTCATCCCCCAGCTCCTTCTCTGGAGACTGTTCTTTGGCTGTGTCTTCTCACTCCATATGGGAGTGATTTATTGTGACTCTCCATTCTAGGATTGGGGAACTCTTCTCTCTCCTTGCCACCTCAAGAATAAGTTTGGTTCTGATTCAGATGTGAATAGCTGGGGGTTGAGGGTTGAATGAATTATCTTCTATGCTAACTTTATAAGTTCTGAGTGTTCTGTGTGCTTTTCTATAGATGTGGAAGTGGGCAGAATTCCAGGGTAGACGCTGTCATTGTTGAACAGCATATGACACTCCATGTCCTATAATTTGAATTTAATCCAACCAGAGGATCATTATCTTAGCCCAGAAGATAAATCTGGAAATAAGTTAGACTACTTGAGATGCAACCATCTCTATTTCTAGTCAAATAAGTGGCAAGTATAACAAGCAAGGAGGCCAGCCTGCCTATGAGACTGAATGATCACAAGGTCAAATTGGTGATGATTCCATGATGTCACCCTGAAAACCTCATTCTCAATAATGGTTTTTCAATAACCAAAATTCTCTCTTTGCAGGAAACATGTATGGGACGTGAGAGTTATCTGAACCTTCAGGATACCCAGGGCTTTCTTGAGGGCAGGATGAAGTGTGGAAGTTCTTTTAGGTGTACAGTGTTGCTGAAGACACTCATGGGAAGGGAGATATCATGTAGTCACACAGACCTGCTTCCTGAGCCTGCTCCGTACTTGCACTCCTTCCTGGATTCACATTTCCTGGAATGTGGAAATAAGATAATTCCTAGTTTGTACAGATTCCTTCCGGGTCAAGTTCTGATCACTAATGTACATTTCAATGCAGAAGTCTAAGGACTGGTGATCACAGCATCTTAAGGCATTGTTTTAAATGATTGTTGGACAATACAAGTTTGTTTCACAGAAATTAAGAAAAATGTGTTCGATGTATCAAGGATTTTACAAAAATGACTCAAGATTGTAGCAATTTTGACAGCACCGAACATAGGATGAAGTCTGTGCAACAGACAACAAAGCCTGGAGACAGGAAGGAATTACCTGCAGGAAGTGGAAGGATGGGCAAGTCTATGATCTAATAACTGCAAAGACAACTTTTTAAAGCTTACGTTTATTTCCTTTTAGCTAGGTTTCAGTACAAGATTATCAGATCACCCTTTTATTGTTTTTAATAATGTTTTGAAATTTTTGGAAAAGGGCACCTATGATTTTCAATTAATAAAACCATCTTCCCTACTAGCGATTAAAACAGTAAAAACATGGGAATATTAAGAGTAAGCTACAGTGATTGTGCTTATGTATACCTTAATGTGCCTCTGATTACTTGCTTGGAACAAATTTTAAGAAGCAGAATAGTAGGTCAAAATGCAAAAGAATGTTAATGCATTTTGACAAGTTGTAGAATGACTTGCAGAACAATAACATATTTACATCTGCAGCCAGTAGTCTAAGTGAACGCTTCCTTGCATCATTAATACTGAGAGCATGGAACACCCATGAGCAAAGCCAAATTCTCCATATTACCTTCAGAGTCATTGGAGCATCTTCTCATTATACAGCACCATATTGCTAGCACCATTGGAAGCAGCAAAATTGTTGACAAAACTCTGCGATCTCTTTTCCATAAAACTCTTTCTTGACTGGGTGCTAAATAAAACAAAGTAACAAAGACTGTGAGCTAAGGAAACTTAACAAGTGAAATAAATGTGAGTAGGTTAGTAGGTTAGTGCCAGTACAGCATGTTTACTAATTTTAAGATTGGTTATAGCTGCAAAGGGGAAAGAATTAATATGGATAATATTTCAAAGAGTGAAAAAGTCCTCAAAAAACATTTCAAAAGGTAATAGTATAAATAATCTGTTGTGGAATATTACTTTAACTGTGTAAAGATGTGTTACATTTGTTTATGCTGCATTTGTTTAATGATGTAAAGATGTGTGTTTAATTATGTAAAGATGTGTTGCATTTGCTTCACCTTGCCTGCCTAAGGCTCCTGATTGGTCTGATAAAGAGCTGAATGGCCGATAGTTAGAGCGAGAAAGGGTAAGTGGGGCTGGTGGACAGAGAGAAAAACTAGGAAGATATATCCAGGCTCAAGTAGGGGAGAAGAGAATGAGGAGAAAAAGGGACATGCCAGGGGCTAGAACCCAGGCAGCAGCCAGCCAGCCAGATATAGCAACAGCAGGAAAGTAAGATATACAGAAAGAAAGAAGGTTAAAAAGTCCCAAGGAAATATATAGATAAAGAGAAACAGGTTAAGTTAAAAGAGCTAGCCAGAAACAAGCCTAAGCTAGGCTGAGCATTCATAAGTAATAAGAAGTCTCCTTGTCATAATTTGGGAGCTGGTTGGTAGCCCCAAAGAAAAAGCCTAGTACAATAAACCATTAGTATAAACATGTCTGTTCTCAGCCTCTCTGTTACAAGAAACTTATGGTCACTATAATGTCAACCAGTTTGGGTCTAGGTAAAGGTGAAAATTAGGAGAGAAAAGAGTCTGGAAAGTCAAAGATCAAGGACTCAACACTGCATTTAATTTTCTATTATTTTAGATTACATCAGGAAATTAATATATTTTTAACAAAGGATTGATTAAGAATGGAAACCTGCATTAGTCTGTAGTTCTCCTCAGACCCCAGGCAAGAAAACTTTCCACAGTGGCCTGGAGAAGACAATTCTAAGGGAACAGAGATAGGATGTTCCTGGTGATGAAATAAAGGCCTGAGGCAATCATAGTTTGTACTCTTCAGGAATACCTGAAGGAACCTGGACTTCCCATATGCTGGCCTAGACTAGGATTATTGTAATTACTATAAAGAAAGCATGATTGGTAAAGGGAAAAACTTGGGGGTTTGGATTACTAAAGTCAGACCCAGCTGATCTTACAATCCATATCTTACCAAATAGTAGGAGGCATTGGAGCACAAAGGCAGATGTAGGGTGGAAACAATGTTTATTAATTGTTCTTTAAAATGATTATCTCTATTTGTATGTCACACAGAAATTGTTCTGAAGATACTGTTATTACTCAATACAGTCTGCATTCTAACAAAGAAAATATTGCCGGGCGGTGGTGGTGCATGCCTTTAATCCCAGCACTCGGGAGGCAGAGGCAGGCGGATCTTTGTGAGTTCGAGGCCAGCCTGGTCTACAGAGCGAGATCCAGGAAAGGCGCAAAGCTACACAGAGAAACCCTGTCTCTAAAAAAACCAAAAAAAAGAAAGAAAGAAAGGAAGGAAGGAAGAAAGGAAGGAAGGAAGAAAGGAAGGAAGGAAGGAAGGAAGGAAGGAAGGAAGGAAGGAAGGAAGGAAAGAAAGAAAGAAAGAAAGAAAGAAAGAAAGAAAGAAAGAAAGAAAGAAAGAAAAAGAAAGAAAGAAAGAAAGAAAGAATCTCTCTAGTTAGTTGCTAATTCTGAATATCTGCCTCTTGTGAGGAAAAAGAGGTTAGGTAGAGAGGGCAAGCTCACTTTCTAACATGTATCCAAATGTATGTTTTCCCTTCTGAAATTAACCCTGCATAGTACAACTACTTCACATTTTGTCTGTGAGCTTCAGTCCCTGGCAGAGTGGAGAGATAGCCACAAGGTCACATATCAACTCAGAAAGACAGTTTAGAAAAGATTGCTTAGGTCCATTCGGTTCAATGAAGTTTTCATTGGGCAGATCTAAATACTAGGAATACCAAATGGACTTCTTGTGTGTATGCTGTGGCATCTCTTAGCAAAACAGCAAATGGAAAACTATAATTAAGACTAGAAAACCATGTGCGGCAATATGAATAATAATGGCCTTCATAGGCTCATCTGTTTGAATGCTTGGTCCCAGTTAGTGGAACTGTTTGGGAAGGATTAGGAAGTATGCCCTTGTTAGAAGATGTGTGTCACTGGCAGTGGGCTTTGAGGTTTGAAAAGTCCATGCCATTCCTAATTACCTCTCTGCCTGTCTTAGGGTTTTATTGCTATGAAGAGATACCACAACCACAGCAACTCTTATAAAGGAAAATATTTAATTGGGGATGTCTTGCAATTTCAGAGGTTCAGTCCATTATTGTCATGGCAGGAAGTATGGCAGCATGCAGGCAGATATGGAGCTGGAGAAGGGGCTGAGAGTTCTAAATCTATTTTGGCAGGCAGCTGGAGGTAAATTGGCTTGAACTTCTGAGACCTCAAAGCTTGCCCCCACAGTGACACACTTCCTCCAACAAGGCCACATCTAGTCCAACAAGGGAACACCTCCTAATAGTGCCCTTCCCTATGGGCCAGGCATTCAAACATGTGAGTGTGGTGATATATTGTGTACCACAATAAAGCTTACCTGGGGATCAGAATAGAGAGCCAGCCACTAAATTAGACATAGAGGCCAGGCAGTGGTGGCACACACCTTTAATCCTATCACTCGGGAGGCAGAGATCTGTCTGGATCCCTGTGAGTTCAAGGCCACACTGGGCTACATGAGAGAAACAGAACGAAGCAGTGGTGACACATGCCTTTAATCCCTGGAAGTAATATGGCAGGACACAGAAAGGTATATAAGGCATGAGGAAATAGGAACTTGCTCTTTTGAGGCTGAGGATTTCATAGGATATGCTAGTGGCTGGCTTGTTCTGCTTCTCTGATCTTTCAGCTTTCACCCCAATATCTGGCTCTGTTTTTTTTTTTAATATAAGACCTTTTAAGATTCATGTTACACGTGAGTCTATGGGGACCATACCTATTCAAACCACCACATTGCCTCATGCTTGTGGATCAGGATGTAAGCTCTCAGCTGCTGCTCGGTGTCATGCTTGCTGATCTGCTGCCAGGCTTGCTGCCATGATGGTCATGGGCTTACCCTCTGAAACTGTAAGCCCCTTAATACATTATTTCTTCTATATGCTGCGTTGGTCATGATGTCTTAGTACAACAGAAAAGTAACTAGCGCAGAATTTGGTACCAAGGTGTGGGCTCTTGCTGGGATCATCTTGACCATGTTGTTTTTTCAAGGA